AAACCAAGAAACATAATTGGAGCGAACCGGCATTCGAACCCACAATCATAGGTTTCTGGCGTGCCCAAGGGTGCAACTCTACACAGCGAATCGCGCGCCTTAGACGACTGGGCCACCAGTGCCCCAATAAGTTAATAGAAAGTGGCGGAATTATATTGTTAATAGGTAGAGTTTAACAGAGTTTAGGGTTCAACAGAGGACTTGTAAGTTTTCATTTATATTGAACAGAAAACACTAGCGTTCTTAAAACACTGTTTTTTCTGCTAATACACATATTATTACATTTATGAATGTTTGGCTTGTTGCGATACCGCCATGATATGTACAAGAGCCTCTGGTTATTGAAATGGGTACATTGTAAGATAACATGATGTTAGTTCCATGTTTCATCGAGGTGACATATATTGCATTGCTTTGTTTGTTTGTTTGTTGTTTAACGCTGCACTCAACAATATTCAAGCTATATGACGGCGGTCTGTAAATATTCGAGTCTGGACCAGACAATCCAGTCACTGACAGCATGAGCATCGATCCACGTAATTGGGATCAATGACATGCATCAACCAAGTCAGCGAGCCTGACCACCCGATCCGTTAGTCGCCTCTTACGGCAATGCAAGAGAATAAAGGGCAAACTATCTGTGAAAGTATCTTCAAGAATGGACCACTGAAAACCAGGGATGACACCAGGTGTTCGCTAAAAGGATAAACATATACTGATCTACCGGCACCACACACCGTTCATACAAAATACATGTCTTGTTTCTAATGACTATCCCTGCCGTAGATACTTGGATCTGGATCAGATTCCAACGTTTTTGCACATGCCATGCCTTTCAAAGCTGTGTCAGATTCGCAGAGGAACTTAATTAGTTGTGGTTACTGTGGCCTCGGGCACGTCTCTTCATACTTCGTGTCCAATTGAGGTCACATCCTACCTTTACATCAAGCTTACTTTTAGAGATTTGTAATTCACTAGAAACATTAAAATAACACACTTTCCTTCCTTACCCAGTCAGTTATGAACAAGAAATCGAGAAACAATAATACTTTAAAACTGTAGACATGTAGCGGGAATGAAACAATGTCACAAGGGCGAGAGACAGAGCCAGAACACGGCATTGAACACGACGAATGGGCTTCACATGATCAACCCATGTGGAAAATCGAACCCGGGTCTTCAGCGTGACGGACATTGGGTCTTGGCAGCCCCACCAACCCTATACCCATGGACGCCGCACAGACGATCGATTCTTTATTTTCAGTCTTTAACTCATTACCAGAGGTTCCTTTCGACGTCATAAAATATGACTCTCATCTGTCAAACGTTGGTTCTTAATAGTGAAACGTTTGCCAGCGCAGCCCAAGCACCAAATCGCTATCGTTCGAACCATAGTTTCTTCTCTGCTGGAGGCGGGTTGTCTCGCCAGGAGGCCATTTTTGACGTCAGATTCCATCTATACATACAACTTACTAATAGTCGGCGTTAGTCGCGCGATCCACGGAACCATTTGTCAAAAGAATCGAGTCCCCCCAAAGGACCACTAAGCTTAAATCTATCGAAAGCCATTTTCAAGGGACTATTTCATTTCACCAGCCACTCAAAACAGCTAAAGTACGTGTCACCCAAACACAAAGAACCTATATCAAGTGCAGTCCTCCGAGAAATTAAAGAAGCCGCTTAGCGATGGTTAAAAGATATATGTTGTAACCGTGCCAAAACGAATTCAATAAAATTTAAAAGAGCTATTTATCATGAAACGGGGCTCAAATATGGTGTAGATAAAAGATCCTTCCCTTGAGCATAGTCGGACGCGTCGCGTCCGCGAACCAAGTCCCACAGCGGCCATTTTGTTTCACGGGACACGAGAATGTATTTAGTAAGACAAAAAGGTCGAACAACGAAAAAACCCACTCCAAATCTGTTTGGTCCGAGGGGAAGTAACGGAAGAACAGCCATTCAATCGGATATCCTTCACTGAAAAAAAAGCGATATAAATTCCCATCCAGGGGAATCGCCAGAGATAAACGTTGGTGCGGGAGATTGAGAAGATCGTTCTACAGACAAATGCTGTTGTTATCGTGGCGAGACTTCCCGCATCAGCGGGGACTGCTCGCCACGTAGGCATCAGGTTACATTTATCTCTGTAATGATAAAAAACTGCATTGTCCCTCTGGGGTGAGTTCTATTACTTATTGATCTCAACTTGACGCTAACCTCCACGTGGCATACAGTTAAGTGCTTCGCGGATTTTTACATATTCGTGCAGGTGTTGTGAGGCTGTCTACGTCACATTGCCGGGGATATATGTAACAAACAGCTGATGGTTTCCTTAATAATTTCAAGCGGTGCAGTTTTTATGTCAAAATGTTTTGGTCTGCCGAACATAATAGGAAATATTGAAGACTTTTTCAACGTGTGATGTTTTTTCAAGATCATTTCTGTTTTTATAAGACTCAAGGGAAAGATATATTGTGCATTATTCGAAAAGGTTTTATCATTGGAATCCGAGTCAGTTATTTAGCGTTTGTACTTTTTACAATTCGTATAAACTGGAGTAATTTTAGTACATGTTTGATGGCTATTTTGACTTCATGTAGACTCTTCAGCCTATACAAGACGTTGTATGTTCTTGTGTGTCGCGATATGAGATCTATTACATGCAGATAGGAACCGTACACCCTCGTGTTACATTATGTGATCAGGGAATTTAAAGTCTTCTGTGCGTTTTTGAAGAGACGCGTTTGTTGTGAGTAAATACAATCAGTTATATTGCAGCATGTCAAGCTAATGCGGGAGGAAAGCACGTAGTCGGATGATGCACATGTTGGATAAAGCGCATGTTGGAGTAAGCGTACATTGACGAATGTTGGGTAAATTGAGCGCATGGCGAATGATGCACGTGTTCGATGGTGTATATGATGGATGAAGCACATGTTGTTGCAAGGTGAGGTGAAGTGAAATGGGGTTTTAACATCGCGTCCAAGATTATTGCACTTATACAGCAACGTGCATGTACGTGTGTTTGTGTGGCTGCTTGTACTAGTCCGGACTGATTCCGATTTATAGTGCTACCTCACTGAGATACCATGCCGCAGTTTAACATGAATACCCCACTCAGAGACAGTATACTGACTCCGAGCCGACCAGTCCTTGTTTTAGCTCCTTAATGCCGAGCGCCAGACAGGGTAACAACAAGTTCCATCTTTTAACGTCTTTTGGTATGATCGAACCCCGGACCTTCCGCTCTCTGGGCGGACGCTCTATCACTAGACCACGGAGGCGGTCTTGTTGTTGCAAGAAGCACATGATGGACGAAGCACATGTTTGATGAGGCTTGATGAATGGAGCACATGGTGGGTAAAACAATGAGGGATGAAACGCATATGGGTAACGCACAAGATGGATGAAGCACAGTGTGAATAGATCACATGGAAGCGCATGATGAGGGACGATGCACATGTTTGATACAGTGGAAGGTGGACGATGTGCCTGTTTGATACAGTGCATGGTGGACAATGAGCATTATTTATACAGCGCATGTTAGACGACGCGCATGTTTGATGCATTGCAGTGTAGTGAAGAGCTACATACAGGTGTCATTGTTATTATAAAACTCCCCAGAAACTTGAGAGCACACACGTGTGTCTTTAACATTGTTCCTTTAAACCTTACGCCTCTGTCGTATGATTATAAGATATAATTGTCATTGATCATTCGTCGGTAAAGTTATTTATATTCAATATCCTTAAGGCATCCGTCGGTATCGTTATCCAGATCCAGCATCCTTTTGTGGCCATGTGTCTGCCGGTACATCCTTTTGTGGCCATATGTCTGTCGATACATCCTTTGGTGGCCATATCCGTCAGTGCATCCTTTGATAACCATGTCCTTCGGTGCATCCTTTGGTGGCCAGGTGTCCATCGGTGCATCCTTTGGTGGTCATGTGTCCGTCGGTGCATCCTTTTGGTGGCCATATGTCTGTCGGTAAATCCTTTGCTGGCCATGTGTTCGTCTTTACATACTTTGGTGGCCATGTGTCCAACGGTGCATCCTTTGGCGTTCAGGTCTCCGTCGATACATACTTTGGTTGCCATGTGTCCGTCGGTGCATCTTTTGGCGGTCAGGTCTCCGTCGATACATACTTTGGTGGCCATGTGTTGACCATTGCATCCTTTGGCGGTCAGGTCTCCGTCGATACATACTTTGGTAGCCATGTGTCAATCGGTGCATCCTTTGGCGGTCAGGTCTCCGTCGATACATACTTTGGTGGCCATGTGTCCATCGGTGCATCCTTTGGCGGTCAGGTCTCCGTCGATACATACTTTGGTGGCCATGTGTCCATCGGTGCATCCTTTGGCGGTCAGGTCTCCGTCGATACATACTTTGGTGGCCATGTGTCCATCGGTGCATCCTTTGGCGGTCAGGTCTCCGTCGATACATACTTTGGTGGCCATGTGTCCATCGGTGCATCCTTTGGCGGTCAGGTCTCCGTCGATACATACTTTGGTGGCCATGTGTCCATCGGTGCATCCTTTGGCGGTCAGGTCTCCGTCGATACATACTTTGGTGGCCATGTGTCCATCGGTGCATCCTTTGGCGGTCAGGTCTCCGTCGATACATACTTTGGTGGCCATGTGTCCATCGGTGCATCCTTTGGCGGTCAGGTCTCCGTCGATACATACTTTGGTGGCCATGTGTCCATCGGTGCATCCTTTGGCGGTCAGGTCTCCGTCGATACATACTTTGGTGGCCCTGTGTTCCCCATTGCATCTTTTGGCGGTCAGGTCTCCGTCGATACATACTTTGGTGGCCATGTGTCCATCGGTGCATCCTTTGGCGGTCAGGTCTCCGTCGATACATACTTTGGTGGCCATGTGTCCATCGGTGCATCCTTTGGCGGTCAGGTCTCCGTCGATACATACTTTGGTGGCCATGTGTCCATCGGTGCATCCTTTGGCGGTCAGGTCTCCGTCGATACATACTTTGGTGGCCATGTGTCAATCGGTGCATCCTTTGGCGGTCAGGTCTCCGTCGATACATACTTTGGTGGCCATGTGTCCATCGGTGCATCCTTTGGCGGTCAGGTCTCCGTCGATACATACTTTGTTGGCCATGTGTCCATCGGTGCATCCTTTGGCGGTCAGGTCTCCGTCGATACATACTTTGGTGGCCATGTGTTGACCATTGCATCCTTTGGCGGTCAGGTCTCCGTCGATACATACTTTGGTGGCCATGTGTTGACCATTGCATCCTTTGGCGGTCAGGTCTCCGTCGATACATACTTTGGTGGCCATGTGTTGACCATTGCATCCTTTGGCGGTCAGGTCTCCGTCGATACATACTTTGGTGGCCATGTGTTGACCATTGCATCCTTTGGCGGTCAGGTCTCCGTCGATACATACTTTGGTGGCCATGTGTCCATCGGTGCATCCTTTGGCGGTCAGGTCTCCGTCGATACATACTTTGGTGGCCATGTGTCCATCGGTGCATCCTTTGGCGGTCAGGTCTCCGTCGATACATACTTTGGTGGCCATGTGTTGACCATTGCATCCTTTGGCGGTCAGGTCTCCGTCGATACATACTTTGGTGGCCATGTGTTGACCATTGCATCCTTTGGCGGTCAGGTCTCCGTCGATACATACTTTGGTGGCCATGTGTTGACCATTGCATCCTTTGGCGGTCAGGTCTCCGTCGATACATACTTTGGTGGCCATGTGTTGACCATTGCATCCTTTGGCGGTCAGGTCTCCGTCGATACATACTTTGGTGGCCATGTGTCCATCGGTGCATCCTTTGGCGGTCAGGTCTCCGTCGATACATACTTTGGTGCCCATGTGTTCCCCATTGCATCCTTTTGGCGTCCATTCGTGTCATTATCTAGATTTCTTTTGTCTTTAGTCTGGTGTCTTTCATGAGTGTATTAAAACATAAACATCAACGCCCCAACTGTATGAAATTGTTTTCTGATTCTTACTGTAAAAATAGCTTGCACATTATATAAAAAATCCCCCCAGTTAATAAAACCCACCTTACTTTCCAATAGAAGTCTCCACACTATGTTTTTCAACAGTTACCTATAAACATTTTTCAGACATTTTGCCTCTGAGTCTGCGATGCTTTGGACACCCCCTTCCCCAGCATATTCATTTTTTCTCTTAGATATCTTGGTTTCTGAAAAAATAACACTTAACTGTACAAATATTGTCAGTTGAGCTGTGGTCTGAGATCCCTCAGCAGTAGACAACTTGGCGTGTACCTAATGCTGAAGTCAACCCAACTCTGTATGGAATAATTATGCATATGAGCTACCCTAAACTATCAATCAATTTCAGCAGCGGAGAAGAAGATTCTTTTCTTGCATGCTACCACCAGAAATAACGTGTAAGATAAGCGGAAGGATGGCAGCCTTCGGGGACGCTAACTGTCAGTTCGTCGCTTGAAATTCATCAAAGTTTCCTATCAGAATGAACGAGAGCCATTGTGAATAAATCAGCAATTTTGTAATCGTATCAACAATACATCACGTATAATGAGCCAGTCACGTGATCTGTACGTGCCAGCCTCGGTCTGGTGACCATGCCAGAACGACACGTCCCGTCATGCAATCGCGACGAGATAAAAGATGGAATCGGAAGCTGTTGGTTGGTGGTCTCCCGCGCCACGTGGTAGATTAACTGGCGTTGTTTACGACAATTAACGAGGGTAAATGTAATAAGATAAGCACATATCTAACTATTGTCTCTTAATTTATGGCCCCGAATGACCACTACATATCTACAGCGCTTACTATATATCCCCAGTCATGGGCTACCGCTGCCAATTAAATCCGCCATAAATCTCGCGTGTAACATTACTTCCGTACGCGCTACGATACAACGGAAGGTGATAAGCCCGCGCCATCTAGCGGTCGTTATCGAATAGGAGTATTTATGATGGTAGATAATACGGTCTATTATGTCAACTTAATAACAGTCTTCATGCGATAGAATACAGACTGCTGCACGTATGATAATAATTGATTTATATTAGACACTTGTTAGTGGTAACACGGTAACACGGTTAAGGTAACAGCCGCGAGACGGACATACCGAGACCAGACACATCACAACAAGCTTATCTATCTTGAAGCCGTGATTATAATGATTCATTGGGGTTATTAATTGTATAGAATCTCGACCAAGTGTTCTTTTGAGATTTTGGGCGGTGTATATTTCAGAAGTATGGATTAATAAAATATAAATATTTATGATATTAGGCTTTAAATGCCGCATGCTAACCCGTTTTATATATCATGGTAATATATCCAACCTTTTAGATAGATTCATGAAACGCGTCGTGTACTTAATTAGGCTGGCGTAATACCAGTGTCATAATACTAGAAACATATTTTGTTAACAAGATATAATTAATGTTTTGGTTTGAAGGTTTTTTACATTCGAAAGTGCTTGTTAACTCCTTGGTATGATATATTTATCAAACGATTTCGATGCTGGCATAATTCGCTTTTCGATATATCAATTGCTTGTTTGTACGCAAATGTCCCAATTATATGACGGCGATCCATTCAAGTCCGGACAAGACAGTCCTGTGATTGATGTCATGAGCATCGCTCTACGCAATTTGGATACGATGACATGCATCAACCAAGTCAGCGAGCCGGACCACGAGTCTTATACACGAGTCTTGTACAGATGTGTGTGTGCGCGGGCGCGCGCGTGTGTGTTCGTGTGCGTGTGCGTGCGCGGGGGTATGTGAGGGAAACATTCTACGATCGGAATGTTAATAAAGCGCCTTTGAGCAAACCACCTGCTGCAGTAATCCTTCTGTAGCCGATAAGATGCTTGTGATTATTTTAACGATTAGAATTGGCGAAAATTACCGAAAACATTTCGCCACTGTAAGGATAAACTTTTCATGTGTTTTTTGTATCATTTTTTAGTTAACCTAACGACCATATTCACGTTACCATAAACATGTCAGAGCGCAATCATTGTTACATTCAACTGTTCTGTGATCCTCGATCGATGCTGAAACAAGATCCTCTGGAGTTGAAAACAAGGTTCAAACTTCCCCCACAGAAGGGTCTGTCATTGTAAGAAGCGGAGCAAGCACTGCACGTGCAGATCACACACACAACCCCGTGCACTTCGCACACATAAGGGCCGTGCAAATATTGACTGTGACATATGTTTGGGAAATCTGGGGCCGTGTTGCTACAAGCTGGGTTCATTTCCCGACGATTAAAGCTGTGGATGAGGGCGCTCCTGGTTCATTATCACACTGAGTAACAATATCAATAGTGAGCGCTTATAAAACTTCTGTTATAATTGAACGTGTGATGACTCCCGCCGTCACCTTATGACCCCTGAGGTCACCCCAAATAGTCAATACTCACTATAAAAGTCATTTCTTGGGAAAATCGAGTTTAAATGCTTCATTAAGATTGACTTGAATTTTATCTCGTAGTCTTTGATGTGATTTAAATTTGTCAGGTTTCACCAATGATTCGTTTACGCCTTGTTCGGCAATTATTACAGTCACATTTACGTCTGAAAATAATTTTGTCAAGGGCGTTCAATAAGAGTCCAGGAAAAAATGTGTTTGTTTTTTTAAAGTGGCATCGTACGTGTGGCTCGAGTTTTGTAACGAATAGCCTCTGTAGTCACACTGGTAATACGGACTGGTAGTCAGATGACAGATATTATTGAAACATTGAATAGCAGCGACATATTCTCACATATATAATGATCACTTCAGACATAATTGATACATTATATAACAAATATTATGGACACATTAAATAACATAACAAGGTGAGGTGAGGTGAGGTGAAATTGGGTTTAACGTCGCGTTCAAGGTTATTGCTTTTGTATAGCGACGTGCGTGTGTGTGTGTGTGTGTGTGTGTGTGTGTGTGTGTGTGTGTGTGCTAGTCCGAACTAATGCCAATTTCATAGTGCTAGCCCACTGAGATACAATGAGCCATCCAGTCCTTGTTTTGGCCCCTTAATGCCGGGCGCCAGGCAGGGTAACAAGTACCATATTTTTAACGTCTTTTGGTATGAGTGAGTGAGTATGGTTTTACGCAGCTTTTAGCAATATTCCAGCAATATCACGGCGGGGGACACCAGAAATGGGCTTCACGCATTGTACCCATGTCGGGAATCGAACCCGGGTCTTCGGCGTGACGAGCGAACGCTTTAACCACTAGGCTACCCGACCGCCCTCTTTTGGTATGACGAGGCCGGGGATCTACTCCACGACCTTCCGCTCTCCGGCTAGAAGTTTTACCACTAGACCACGGAGACGATCAACATCATATAACACATATCACGGACACATTAAATAACATATTAACATATATATCATCGTAACAAATGTTATATTTTGGATAACACTTTCTTAGTAAAGTACAGATCCTAGTACTTCTCGGAGTTCAGTCCCATCCGGGATTCGAACCTATACTGCCAGAGTGAGGCACCTCCATCGCCAGCACAAAAGGTAAACAATCTAACCCACTCAGCCACCGAGCCTTCCCAAAAAATGAAAGTCCGACAACTGGTAGGCTAGATCACGTACTTTGTGTACCCCTCTGACAAGTGTAAATTTGCACGGCTCCAATGGCCGAAAGCTATGAACACACAATGCCATTTAGAAATTGGTCAAATGTAACAAATGTTATATTTTTGGATAACACTTTCTTAGGAAAGTACAGATCCTTGCTTTTGGGGGTTGAGTCCCGCCCGGGAATCGAACCATTATTGCCAGAGTGAGGCATCTAATCGCCAGCGCGCAAAGTCAGCGATCCAACCCGCTTCCACGAAAGTGAAAGTCCGACAATTGGTAGTCTAGATCACGGACTTCGTGTACGGTTGTCAGACTTACTGACCTGGTTGATGCATGTCATCGTATCCCAATTAAGTGTGTCGATGCTCATGATGTCAACCACTGGATTGTCTGGCCCAGACTCAGAGTATTTAAAAACAGCTGAGTGTGGCGTTAATCAAAAACAAACATAACAGATAACATATAAAATCATGAATGATTCCGACAAGAAACATTCTTTCGCATTTGGGGCATGTTTCCTTTCGGATACACTTTTCGCATTTGGGGCATGTTTCCTTTCGGATACACTTTTCGCATTTGGGGCATGTTTCCTTTCGGATACACTTTGTCAATGTCTGTACATTGAATCCAAGGCACGACAAGAACTGAAATTATGCGAAAGGATATGTTTCAATGAATTCACGATTAAGAATTAAACAATTTAGAGGCAGATGGGAAAGATCGAGGTAACCATTTTGAGTCCTTGTCAAAATATGGCGTGTTCTTGTGACCGGGAGCCTACTAGAAGATCATAATGTTACCACAAATTCAAAATGATCGACAGTGAGTGAGTGGAGTTTAACGCCGCCTTTAGCAATATTCAAGCAATATCACGACAGGGGGCACTAACAACGGCCTTAACAAATTGTACCCATGCGGGAAAAAGAACCCGGGTTTCAGCGTAACAAGTAAACGCTTTAACCACTCGGCTACCCAACCGACCCATAAGGTCAAGGACTTCAGCCAGTGTTCCAAACATGAGCTTGGTTAATCTCTGGTCGAGTGAGTGAGTGAGTGAGTGAGTGAGTGAGAGTGTTGGGTTTTAAGCCGATTTGTGCAGTGAACTTAGTACAATGTTGACTTATATTACCAGGAAGCAGACGAGACCTGTCAATAGAGGGTCTTGTACTTAAATAGGTATGTTTATAGTTGATGGAATGACGAGATTAAGCGGTCCAGCAAATTCAATATCTGTTCATGTAAAAAGGGGACTGACAGGTCCAGCGGAA